ACCCCTCCGCCGGCCCCGGGCGCGGCCGGGGAGCTGCCGGGCCTTTCGCTCCCTGCCCTGCACCCTCTGACGGACGTGAGCGATTCGATAGCATCCGTGTTAGAGCACCGCAAGGGACAATTTAACAGGCGCTGAACTTCACAAGATTAAAACGTCGTGAAGTTGGAACTGATACAAGTGACAGGAAGGAGCGAGGCTGCACGGTTTGGTCCGCAGCTACACAGATGGAGCTCGGGTGTGGATTTTAATGGGTTGTGACAGGTTTCACTAACTGCCAGGGAACACACTTAAAATCGCCTTCCTGTCAAAACTCTAGCACTCTGCAGCCTCTGAATTATTTAAAAGTACAAATGCAAATTTAACTTGGGTTTCATTATTATTCTCTGCTTGTAAAAGATACAGCTCGGCCAGTTTTATAGAGATTAATGCCTGAGTCAACGAGACAGTTGCATGTGTAACTCACTGAGTACAAGTAAAGAAATGCATCTGAATGGAGATCGGAAAGTACTTGTGATACCTATGACCTTGTTCTGGAACATCTTTCTCCAGACTAATTCCTATGAAATTCGTGTCTTTACAAAAGACAATTATTTTGTCTGAGACAGAGATGATAAGAGGAAGGTTGCTTTGGAAGCCCTTCTTTCTGGAGAAAAAGTTTTGTGGAGTTTGAGGGGGCCTGAGAGGAAGTGAACATCTGTTCCAAAACCAAAATAGTTTTGGTGTTAGGTTGAGCAAAAAGTTGGTTTTGTAGATGCGAAAATACCAAACTCAGGAGTAAAGTCTGCTTATGCTACCGCTGTGCTTTGTGAAAACATGGAATTTATGTTGACATGCAGCACTGCCCCTCGGGACTAGGCTCATGGGGAAACCTGTGCCTGCCACAGTGCCCCCATGTCTGCTCAGAACAGGGTGGCCTGTGGTGCTGTCTCTGTAGCAAAGAGAGAAATAAGGCACTACCAGTGCAGGAGAACGTGGTTTAATGCTGAATCGAGACAGAACATTTTGATGCACACATACTGTATGATACCATTTGTTCTGCTGAGCAGATCTACGGGAAATGTTAACACGTTTTCAAGTAAAAAAGTTGAGTTTGGGACTTGCCCATTAGATGAAAAAGGAATTCTGTAAAAAATATCTTTGTAAGAAATATTAGTTGTGCTCAAGCTCAATCTTCTTCTTGAGAAGGAAGAATTGCTCAAGTAGACTTACCTGGTGGTTCTTTAGTAGTAGATTCAGAGAAGAAACCCTGCAGCTCTTTCAGCTTGAGAAGAAACTGGGGACATTTTCAGGGAAATGAGGAAAGGGCAATACTTGGGCAAAAGTTCTTAGTCTTAACCCCGGGATCAAAGACAATTATCAGAAAATGTACAGTAAATGGAGACTGGACTAATGTGCTTGCCAACCACGAGCAGGTTTTGCCCCAGCACTGAGGGGGGTTCCAGAGGCTCCCTGGTATTCTCTGTGCCCTCAGCCCACGCAACCTCCTCAGCGCTGCTGGGCCCCTCTCCTACCGCCTTTCCTCGACGCCCTGGCACGCCGTCACGCTCTGTTCTGGCCGTACTCTCACCCGCTGTGTAGCAATGGCTTCCCGGAGTCAGAGGGGCCGGTGTGGCCAGTCCCGGCCCGGGGCAGGGATGCTGACAGAGCCGACAAGGAGCTCGGCAGATCTCCGCAATTCCCGCGCACAGCAGGAGCGCTGCCTGCCCGGCGTGAGGGGAGAGCCCCTCGGCAGAGACGAGAACTGTGATTGGCTGTCCCGGGAGGGCCGGCCAATGGGGAAGGCCCTTACATGACATGCGAGGTGTCCCTCAGGCAGGTGGCGGCGTGGGCAATGCCCGCGGTGGTGTCCGTGTGGCCGGGGGTTCTGTGGGTGACAATATGCTGTAGCTCATGTTTTGTGTTCATGGCGGGGGCGGGCAGGACACGGCTTACCACGATCCTGGGATCTCTGGCCGGCGGAGAGCGGCGCAGCGTCGTGTGTGTGACCGGGCCCGATGGCGTGACCGGGCCCGATGGCAGAGGCGGCTGTGAGCGGGTAATGGCTGGTACAGCTGACGGTCGGGAGAGGGGCGGTCTTTCTTTTTCAAATGATTTGTTGGTTTAAAGTCTTGTCCTGATAGCAACTGCTGTCGTGTAGGAGTGCCTTTCATGAAAAACCAGTTACCGTAACCAAGCTCCCAGGGGTCTGTGGCCTCTCCCGTCGTCCTGCCTTTTTGCACTGAGAGCTTGTGTTAGTACCGGGCTGGGAATGTGGCACAGTGGGGTTCAGGGCGGGGGGCGCTTAGGGGAGGAGGTTTGCTTGGACGAGAACTTGCTCCTTCTTTGGTTGGATGAACCCTGTGAGCTTCCTTCTTCCTTTGGGAAAGAGCAATGTTGTGAGGGTTACTTATAATAGAAAGGCGTTTATAAGCGAAAGAAAAGTTAATGATATTTGGCAGATGTTTATGAAGTCCAGTTAGGGTTCATGTATTACTCTCTTTTAAATCATAACTATGAACAGAAACGCTTTTCTGGCCTTCTAATAGCTCACTAAAAGTAACAATTGTCATGTCTTGCACACAGTATGAAAGTCACTATCGCTGCATGTTCAAGAGCAGGGTGTGAGGTAAGTGTATTTGTCATGTGGACATAATTCCAGCTGCCCAGTGGGACCTGCTTTGGCTTCAGTGCAGGATTGCAAATCTCAAATGCAGCTGTGTGAACTAACAGTAGTAAATAACCTCCCAGCAAGCAGCCAGGGGTAGGGGGTTGGTCTGCTTTGCAAGGAATTTTGGTCATTACATTAGATTCCTAGAACAAAAACCATTTATGGAAAATCAGTAGACAAAATACTGTGCCCATTTATCAACTTTTTCTTATAATGATGTGTATTTGCCTGTTAGTTAATTGTTAATTATTGCATGTTATTTTTTTCTGATTAACTGGAAAAGTGAATTTCTGTAATCACACAGTAAATCTCCAATTCACCTCTGCTGAACATCTTATGCCTGACTCGTTCTCACCAAAGGAGGTGTGTTTTGAAACTGAGATTACAAAAACAAAGTAATAAGAATAGATCCTACCTCCTTACTTATTTTTTTTATTATGTCGTTGATGTGTTCTTACTTACAGGCATTTGTCCCTCAGACTGAGGTGAGATTTTTTCCCTCTGTTATGACACTATTTTTCTATCCACTCAAGAAATACAGCCTATTTTTTTGGCAGAGGTTTTTAATATTTATTGTTTTCATATTACATAATTTAAAGTTTTGTTTAGCTGTGAGTGCATAGCAGCAGAATAATTTTACATGGAATCCACCCTGTTTTGTGCTTCCCAAAATAGCTCATTGTTTTAATTTATAGGAATAAGAAACGCTAACTGCTTTGTGAAATGAAAATAGTTTTATGGACTCTGTTAACAGGAACTTTAAACAGAACAGAACAAAGTCCTTCTACAAAGGAAGGCCATGCCAGACTGATGGCATGGCCAAAAAAAAGAAATAATTGTGCACTAGGAACATTTTTTATAACTGATGTAAAAACTGTTATTCCAATTAAAAGTTTGCTGTAAACCAAATAATAGTGGAAGACTGCAATGTGCAAAATTAGGCAATCTGAAGGAAGAATTTTATGAGTGGGAGATATGAAGAATTTTATCTGAGAGAAATTAGTTTACTATTTTGAAGAACATGATAAGATCTAAACATGAAGTTTTATAGTAGCAGATACTTCATCAGTGCTTTTCCTGCGTGAGTTTGCTTAGTAAGTTTTTCTCTTTGCATACACTTCTGCTTTATATCCAGTGAGTGAGATACAAAAAGTGTAAGCCACAGGAGTTCTGTGTACTTCAGGGAAGTAATGTTATTTTATATCATCTTAGGAAGCTCTTTATGAGAACAGGAAAAGGAAAAAGCTGCATAGCCTCTCTCCCTGTTGCAGTTCCTCCAAAGCATCTGTAAGATGAAAAGATGTAGTTTAATTTCATTTTGACTATGTAAATAGTTCCTTTTCCAATAAAACAGAAGTAACAAGGATAAAAGGAAACATGGATGTCTCTGCCTGCATTGTTGCAGTACAGCCACAGTCCTATACTTTGACAGAATCTATCAGTCTGTACTGATGCTTTCCTGTGGTTCCTTCTTAGTGATTTCATGGTTTGGGGGGGGAGGGGGGGGCGGGGCGGCTCTGGAAAGAAAATGGAATAAAAGGGGACAGAATTATAAAACCTATGGCCTGTAGCTCTCTCAAAGATAAGCTTGCCTAACACTGTCTCTTTTGTTGGTATCAGGTTAATAATAATGCAAAAGTGCAGAAGACAGGAAGAGAGGGAAGCAGTGAACAGGTTCCTGCCACACTCTCCTCTGAATGTTTGCACAGTGTTGTTTTTACCAGGTGTCCTGGTGTCCTTATAAAAGAGTGAGTATCAGATGTTTATCTTCATCTTCAGAATCCCTTTAGTTAATTTTAATTTGGACAAATCACTGTGTTACATCAAGTAATTGTGTTAATTCTTATCAACGTCACTAATAAGTCTCCAATTGTTACAGAATTGGTAAAAAAAATAAAAATGCTCAAATGGCTTACATGTGGCAGTACTTTTACAAAAGGTGGAGGTAAGGCTTGAATATTAAAAAAGTCAGGAAACCATTTTTACCTGTGAGTCAGCAGTCAGCAACTTTGACATTTCAGAAACACAGCAAGAAGCTTTGGAGGGCTGAGAAAGCACTGTAAGCTCAAGTGGCAGCAGTGTATTCTGTCACTGAGCTCCCTGGACTGGCTGTGACAAGAATCCAAAATGCCATTGTGCTGTTGTAACTAATGATTGCACACAAAATGGAAGAATGTATTGGCATGGCAGTGATAAAAGTATAATTAGGAGAATAAACTCTGAAAGAAAAATAAATCTCACATTTAAGAAGCATTTTGATACTTTCAGAAGATGGGGCACAAAAGAGATTGTGTTCTCTGGTGTGTACTACAGCAGTTTGTGCTATTGTGTATGCTGTGGAAGAGAATTTAATATAAATGTAAACACATTCTTGCATTGAGCAGTGATTGAAAGGTTTATTTTTTTTTCAGCTGGTCATTTCTGCAGTAGGAGACTGAAATGACCAGTATGGCAGTGTAAGGGGTAGGGAAGTGGAGAGTTCCACCAGGGCTCCCTCCCACTGGTCTGAGTGAATTGGTATTTACTGGGCAATGTTGTATCTTAGTGGAAAATGTGGAGAGCTGAGAAACAAAAGGAAGCACATTTGTTGTTCAGTGCTTAGTCCTCTTCTGTCACAAAGCATGAAATGATAGTTTAGATCTTAGAAATGAGCAGCAATGATGTTGTATGCAAACTGAATCAATTTTAATGGATTTCTTGGAGGACACAATGACACCATCCACAGAATCATGAAAGCCACTGTGAGTGGAAATAATGCTTGTGAATTTCTAAGTGGCAATACTGACTGGGAGCTGTGGGGTGCCTTACATGCTTATAAGGTTCTGTGGCTTCCGGGCACTACCCCATCCATACTGGAAAGCTGAGAGGCAGAAGTCAAGCACTCCTTTGTGAACAACAACCAGAAATTTTGTTAGCTGAAATTCAGTTTCTGCTTCAGCTGTCAGACATTGCATTGATCCAGCAGATCGCAGGAGACACCTGTAGTTGCTATCCTCATGGCATTCTTTCTTGCAGACAACCTCTGAGACAGCTGTGATCATGTATGAGGCTGTAAAAGACTATTTCTCTAGTTTCTTTCAGCCACAAAGCAGGAAAAGAGGACTTCAAGGTGCTAGTCTGTTTCTTGCAATAATGATGAGCTGGTCATTGTCAAAGCTTCACAGTGACCAGCATCACTGAATACACCAAGCAGGCCTGTTGCATGGTGTGCCTGACCTCTGCAGCTGGGGCACAGGAGTGTCTTGGTTCATTTCCAGATACAGACATGCTTTTCTGCTGTGGTCAGACCTCTGAAGTGGTGACCCACAAGTTCAGGATTTTTTGCTGTTAATTTCCTTTTTTATCTTCCTTTTACCTTTCTATCTTCTAATTTCTATAAGGTTGCTGTTCATCCTGCATTACAGAAGAGCAATTCGTTGAGAGCCTAGGTCAGTGGTCTGTAACATACTGTGAAAAAACTTCCAAGTGAAAGAGTTGTATTTGATGACCAGTGGTTCTGAGACAACCAGTCATAAGTCAGCAGGTGCATCAGTAAAGGGCCTTCTAACTGTTGATGTAAAAACTTAAGAATATTGGGAATTGCAAATTTCCTGCCATAAGAAAATTGAAGAACTTGGAAGGATGACATGAAGTTCTGTGCCTGCTATGTATTTCTGAGGAATATGGTCAGAAAAAGAAAATAGCTTCTTTTGAATGCAAAAAGTTAAATAAAGCTTACCAAAGAAAATGAGAATGTTCAAGTTAAGGTACAGCAAGCATGGGAAGGTAAAACATAAAATAATTACTTCCTCTATTTTCACTCTGTAACCAAACTTCTGTCAGGTTTTGCCAGCTATGAAGCAGAAAGTGATGAAGTTAGAAGCCATGTATTGAGCATAATCACTTCCACTGGATTTGATCCACAGAATCATTACTTTGAGCTCAGTTTAACTCATTTCAGTGTTGGTTTTGGCCTTTTATGATTTACACATTTATTATTTCTGTTTCTTGACTTCTCTGTGATTTTTGTAATGTGTGAATATTGCATGTTGTCACTTTTGCTAAGCTTCTTTTCATTCAAAAGCACAGAAAATATCAGCACGTCATTCACTCAGATGAGTGAATTGATCCAGTAGCTTATTCAGTAAAAGTTGCATAACATTCATTCATTCATGTTCATGCTTGCAAGTCAGCAATGACTCACAGGTGAAAACAGCACTGCAAAATATTGCAAAAAATGCTGGATATATGCTTTCTGAAGCAGATATAATGTCAGATGAGTAATATGTTAAGCCTACTGGAGTAATCAGTGTTCAAAAATCAGCATTTTATATTTGTAGAATCATTATGAAAAGATATGATGTTTAGGTACAATTGATGGACAGTGCTTGGAATTGGGCGGTTGGTATGTTTGTGTGAGACTGTAAACTGAATTTGGAATATGGAGTTCTGTCAATTTTTCTTCTGCCTCTCAGCTGAGACACTGCAAAGAACAAAAGAAATTCTTTCAGACAACATCATGAGGTGGTGAAATGCTGTGTATTTCTGGGTAAGCTATGTATCCCAGTGGAACCTCCGTGAGTAAGAAAATGGCTGCTTTCCATGGCAAAACATTATTTATAATCTGAATCTGGACATAAAGGTGAGAGTGTTATGGAGATTCAAGAGCAGTGATTATGTGATGAGGCTGATGAGAGCTTAGCAAAGCAGCTACAAAATATACATAAAAGGACCTCTGCTTAGCCTTTTTAAGGAGATTATAAGCATACTGCTGGTGGAGGAAAGATAGGACATGGAGGGAAATCTGTTTTGTTGCTGCTTGATTCAAAGGTCATCTAAAGAGTGAGAATGAGACTGAACGACACTGAACTGGATTTCTCAGAAACCTCTGATGTTAGAGTTGTTGTGAGGTTGCTGAAAAAGTGGGCAAGTGCATGTGTGTGGTAATTTGGTCTATATGAGCCTGGAACTTGTGATATGTAAAGTAAAAGTGGTTTTCAGCAGGCTCATGTGACCTGTATATTTGCTTATTTGGAGAAGGCTACTGAAGGAATAAACTGTTAATCCAAATTGTCCACTTCACTGGGAGACTTTGACCCATTTCAAGAGTCTGAATGTAAATGAGTCTAGGAGATCCCACCTCTGCAAAATTTGTTCCCCAGGGAGGAGTGCCCTGTGAAAACTAAATCCAGCAGAGTTTGCAGTGTGTCCAAAAGTGTTACCCAGGTCTCTGGCAGGAACAGAGTTTTTAAGTGTGTGTCCTTTTTTAGAAGGTTTATCAGCACAGATTTCAGCTTCACTGGCCTTTGTGCAGTGAAACTTATTTTTATCCCTGTCTTTAGTCTGCATCTAGGTCACTAGCCTAGGTGTGTGGTCTGTCCATCCTGCCGTGTAAGCTATGCAAGTCAACTCCCTGTGTTTTGTGTAAAATGAGTGAATCTGTCTCTTACTGATTCATTAAAGAGAGTGAGGCACCCAAGCCTGAATTGCACTCCTCTGGAAGCCATTACTCAAGTGCAGCTGGAGGCTGAACATGGGATAATGGCTGTTGACAAGGTTCAGTCAGCTTTAACTGGGTGTGAGTGGGTCCCTGTACTGGGTTTGCCAGAGATGGGGGTAATTTACTTCACAGCAGCTATGTAGTCACCAAAGAGTGCTGATATCACACAGATGTTTTAGCTACTGCTGAGCAGAGTCTACGCATTGTCCAGGCTTTCTCCATTTCTCACTCTGCCCCTGCAGTGAGGAGGCTGGGGGTGGGCAAGGGGCTGGGAGGGGACACAGCCAGGACAGCTGAGCCCAGGTGACCAAAAGCATATCCTGTACTCTACAACATCATGCTCAGCAAAGAGTCTGGGGTGAGTTTTTCAGGGATTGCCATTGGTTGGGAACTAGCTGGGTATTGGTGTAGCTGCTGTTAGGTGATTGCTTTTGTATCACTTGTTTTTCTTTTTGTTGTGTTTTGGTTTTTTTTCTTTCCCTCTCTCCTGATTAAACTGTCTTTATCTTGACACACAAATTTTCTCACTTTCGTCCTTCCAGTTCTCTCACTCACCCTACTGTGAGGAGAGTTAAGGAGCACCTGTTTTGGGACTTAATTTCCTACTGCTCTTAGTTTCCTCTCTATGAATCCCTTTTCCTGGTTCTGCCTCCCCTGGGCAGTGTCCTGGCTTTCTGTTTAACCTGTTCCAACCCACAGCTTTTAGTGACTCCTGCTCTGCTGGGGATTTCTTGGCAGCAATGAGAGATTTGCCTGAGTTGATTTTTTTTGGAACTGCTGTCAGTTCTTCTACAGCCAAGAACTTTTATTGCCTCCTCTGCGAAGGAGATTTAGCCAGCAGATAATTCTGCTCCCAGAAACAGGGCCTGAAAAGGTAAGCCAGCCTTTCTCATCTGTGAACACACACTGCTTCACTGCCTTATTACTGTGAACTCTGTGATTCATTGTCTCCTATGTATTTAACATATGTAGTCTCTTAAGTGCAGTGTTTGTATGATTCCTTATGAACAGAAACTGTTTATGAAGCAGTGATTTGCTCTTCTCACTTCCTCTTGTTTACTGCCCATGTTTGCACTATATCCACTGTCAGCACGAGACCTGCATCTGGCCTATGTCTCCTGCTCCACTGTGCTGGCATCTTTCATGACAGTGTTAAGATGTCATCTTTACAATAACCTTGAGACCCCCATGCTGAATGACACCTGAGTATCAGCCCTACAGATGCCTAAAATCCAGCTGCTTTGATGGAGATAGGATGAGTTACCCCGT